ATAAATCAACAGGCTGTGTTTCTTGGCACTGCTAATTGTTTTTATGATACTCAGGGAACCGTAGCATACCGTTAAGCCCTTTTCAAACATGGGACACAAGAGTTTCAAATGTTAATCTGTTAAAGTGACAGCATTCTGCCATTCAGACATAGGTCACTTATAGGTTAATGTTTCTCGTGGATTTGTTCAGACATACCCCCCCCATCTCTGACAGAGAAAGCCAAAGAAGGCACATTTTTTTGCCATGTGCATAAGATTGTCGTAATCTTATCCGCACCTATCTGCAGCACTTGTGCAGTGTAGAAAGTGATACCTAAATGGTACTAGGTTTAATCTAGTAAACTGACACCTTCAGATGCTGTCAGCTTATTAGAGTGGAGTGTACATCTGAAACTGACTATACACTGCACGGGGCGGTGGGGGCTAAGTTACATACCTCAAAGATGCACTTCTCTCTGTTGTTGAAAAGCATGAGGATAGTCATCTGGAAGGTGGAGACCTGCAGGATGTGCTTCCTGGTGTTGGATCCTGTCACCTGCGCACCTCCCACTCCGACCTCTGATCCATCCTCCTGTTGTGTCAGGATGACAGATCACAAAAGAAAATATGTTCAGTGTTTCAGTACTAATTACTTCTCAATTTTTCCATTCTTAGTAAAAACACAGCTATTTTTACAACGATCTGCCACACTTAGGTGTGTCTCTTATTCTTTGTGTTTATGTCAGTGATCCACAGTGTACATCAGCAGTACATGTAAAAGTTCAGTAACATTTCAGCTATTAAGTACCATTTAAACACTGCTTAGAGTCAGCGTCTTAACTCTCAGAACCTGAAAACACAGTACTGACAGAGAATGGAAAACTTGGTCACATTGTTAATGTTCTATAACTGTGAATTATTGTAAATCAGAATAGCACATAGTGCACTGGCGCTGCTACGCAGTGATTGTCTTCTTTATAGGTGGCACATACCTTTTTGATGGGACCGTAGAAGGTGGCGTTTAGATCTGCAGAGCCCATATGGTGCTGCAGCGTCAGCTGTCTGCCACTGTGCTTACCCAGATAAAACCTACAAGCAGAGTGGAGTCCCACTAGGTTTAACATCTAAAAATAGTCCACGTACAACAACTCATCTAAATGAAATGTTAAAGGAAATTCATGCTTTGCACAGTCGCATGTTGATGTAATTTTCATCATCTTCCCAGGACCATGCGGACTCTGAGAGGACATCGGTATGCAGGCCAAAAGTTTGTGTCCACATAGCAAAAGCCCCGACCGCACATGCACCACAACGCTTGAAAACCGTTGGTGTACACAGACAGATGGCAGACATTTGGTTTTAAAGTATGAA